GTTTCCTTGGGAAGTGATCCCAGGTAACATGAAAGCAGCCAATAAAGGGGGTGTCATTAACAAGCTTCCACTCTGGGCAGCTGGAGCTAAATCCTGCTGGGGAGCTGAGGGAGCCGCCGTGGAACAAACGTCAGAGCTCCACTCAGGCTGAGGGTCCATCCACCAGCTTCTGCCAGTCATTGGCTGAGGGATATCAGGGGTTCATTGGTTGAGAGATGTTGGTGGGGCAGAGTGGTGGCACTAATTCCCTGCCACATGTGTGGGAACAGTGGACTGTGGCAGCCAGCAAACGCCCCCCAGGAAGCAGGTGCTGCCTGTTGGAAGCCGAGTTGATGGTTGTAAATGGGAAGGCTACGGGGAGCGTGGCAGGGTGCAGAGGGTTACTGGATAGTCAATGGGATTTCCCACAAGTCCTGGAGCCAGAACCCTGACAATGCCCCCCATGTGGCACAGGGTCACTCCCAAATGCCTCCTCAAAGCCCCCAACCCCACCTGACTGCCCACTGAGTCTTACCTGTGGCCAATCTTCACTCACCAGGCCCTCAACTGAATGATTCTGACCCGCTCTCCAGCTGCCCCAGATTAAAATAAATAAATAAATAAAAAGAAAATTCTATTGCTCTTTGGTTAAGATGTGAACTAAATGTTGGGCCTTTTTAAAGCTTCCCCTTTCGGTGCCACCCTTCACCCTCCCCCTCTAGGCATTTTTCCTGCATTTCAAGGCTCTGCTGTGGACACCTGACACATCCTTAACAGAGATGAGGTTGTTTCCCTAAAAGGGTTTTATGAGGCACTTCACTCACCCAGGGATATTTGATATTTTAATTAGGTGCCAAAGGAATGAATTACTAATGGTGGAAATTTACACCCAAAGATAGGAGAAGTATTGCTGTCTTGACCATCTTGACATTGTATCTTCTAAAAAAACCCAAACACACTGCCATCGAGTCTGACTCATAGCAACCCCTGTTGAGTTTCCAAAGTGGTAAATCTTTACAGAAGTAGATTGCCCAGTCTTTCTTCCACAGAGTGGCTGGTGGGTTTGAACCACCAACCTCTGGTTAGCAGTCTGATGCCTTAGGCACTGTGCTACCAGAGCTCCTTACCTTTCACTTTTCAACACCCCTCCCTCTCTG